ATACAACATTTCCTATATTCTTATCAACTGAATCTCATGGAGATTAAATAAAAGTTGGAAGTCTTCTTTCCGTGACCTAACTTAGTTGTCTCAGATGTAGTCTTCTGTTGCTATCTTGATTCTCCTTCTGTTTGTTTTGAATGTAGCATTTCATGGCAATCGATTTGCTGCAGCTGTCAGACTAGTCTTGCTACATACATTTCATCCAAATTCTGCATACTTCAGCAAAGAGACTTCAATTTATGATGCTTAAAGATTTCATGATATTCTTTAGATCTTTCCACTAGATCCCAATGTAGTGTACGTGACATTTTCACAGTTATGTTGTATTTTCCAGGAAATTCGTTTAGGTACCAATTAATCCACTCCTTCTTTTATTTGCTTTTAAAGATTTTTTCCTGATTCTCTTTTAACATCCATTTCTCAGGCTCCTGTGTCTTCTGTTCTACATTCTCTAAAGAGTGAGAAATGTCCTTTATCCAGGCTTTTGAACAAATCTTCTTTCCTTAAGATTTCTATTCAAGATATTTATTTTAGCAAGACCTTCTACAATCATTTAAGTACAGTATTTGGAAAGAGCTAGAATGAACTGTATAGTAGCATCAATTAGTTTTAAAATGCTTTGGTTCTCTGTTCTTAGGATCCCACGAGAGACCACCGGCCCCTCAGTTTATTTCTGTGTCTGGTTTTCTTTTGCAGATGAGGTGGTGGGTGAATGGGAGTTTAGAGACTGTGATGTTAGAGAAGAATAGTGTTGAATTGGACAAAAACTGCTACATGGACATGAGTGAGAAACCCAGGACTTTCAGATATATCAAGTTCAGCAAAATTAATTAGGTTTGTCTAGGTATTGTAATTATTTAAGCTAATGCAATGTGAGCTACAATTTCTGTAATCATACTTTTTCTGAGTCTTATGAGACCATTCCACTTGCTCTTGACTGGTAGGCATTTTTTCCGCCAACACGGTATTCTCTTGAATTTTGCTAGCTCTTAAGATAGCTTGGTTCTCCAAAGCCTCAGGTTTTAATAGTGCTCATGACCCCTAGTTTCAAATATGAATTCCTTCTTTCCCTCAGCATTATTATTTTGGTTATTGATACTAAATTGAACTTTTTCCTCCCAGATCATAATTTTCAATAATATCTTCCTGTTATGCCTCTTCAAGGAAGTTATGATATTTACAGATGAACCACTAATACAAAATCATTCAGTTTTAGAATTGAAAAGGATATTGGGAAAAAGTGCAAAGCATTGCCATCTATTTGCAGATCTCAATGTAATTGCTCAACCTGTTAGTAAGTTTGCTCCCTTGGCCACCAGGATAGCAGAGTATGTCTTCTAAAAAGCAGCAGAAGCTTAAAAAATTTATTTTTTAGTATAACCCTTGTTCCAAATAGAACTTAGTGTGAATGCCAGTATCTAACGTATGAAAGTAGTGTTTCATTTATATATATATTTTGTAGGTTCATATTATCACATTTTCTCATTGTAAAGTCAAATGGTGAAAATAATTAGATTGTTTTCATGAAATGATGCTGCAAAATGAGTGGGAGGGACGGTAAGTAAAGTTTCCTTAGTATCAAAATAGAATGATTTTCCCTGCTGCGGAGGAAATTCATGTACTCACAGAGAAACAGCTGCAAATGGAACCCCTCACCACATTCACTTTTTCATTTCTGTTTAAAATTGAACAGACTTTTTAATTAAACATAAATGACAGGAGAAGGTTGTCCCTCCAAACTCTGTCCCCAGACTGAGTTAACTTTGCAAGTTAGTACACTAGGGTTTCAGTGGGCTAAACTTTCAGTAATGCATTTGAGAGTAGATTTTAATTGCAAAGTTTAAAGCAGTTAAAAGATGTATGTAAATTTTTAAAATTAAACATCATGAAACCCCTGAAAATCTGTGTAACTATTTCACAGAATGTATTTTTTTAAAGTGCTCCTATTATTTTAGTTTTAAAATAGAGCCATATGCCGTTGCCATGTTTTAAAGACCAGTAACGTTCAACTTTCCAAGACAGATTTGTACATATTATAGAACACACTGAAGTTGGTCGTCCATCTGACGGCTCGTGTGTCTGGGGCGCAGTTTAGAAGTAGCGCCGAGCGTGCGGCTGGCACAAAGTCTGCGACTTGAGCATGAGGAGAGGGAGAGCCCTTGTCTCCTTTGGCTTCCTCCTTTGAATCAATAACTCTAGTTTTTACCAACATTTAAAACAAATTTGATTATCTAGTGTCTTGTTCTGGGTCAGAAGAAGGAAACCAGGAGAGAAGATGTGAGAAGCAGAGGGCTGTGTGTGAGAAATGATCTCTTGACAGTTCCGTGGTTGTAAAAGCATAATGGTCACGTGCGGTTTAGGCCGTCCCAACCCTTGTAAACTTTGAAAGCACGGCTGCTTTACATCATGATCTGATCATTTCAATTAAGATGACCCCGAGGAATCATGATAAAGTTTAAATTAGGTTTGTGTAGAAAAATTATGTAATGGTTCTTGAAGAATATTAATTAAAACAGTTAAAATGCGCCTAGTAAGTTACAGGGTTTTAACCTCAGCTGGAAACTTTACTTATTTGGTACATTTAATTACTGAAGAATGCTCGCAAAATGAGGTATTAATGCATGTTCTCCTACCACAAATCTGACTCCACAGGGCTACAAAATATATTTAATCCTTATTTCAGAAGGGCTAGTGTACTTTTGGTAGGTTGTTCTGAGTTTATTTGCATTGACAAATTATTACTCCATGAGTCTTCTCATAGGAAGCCCAGAAGAGGGAGGCTAAAAAGAACCTTCTATAGGGAGAGCAGAGTTTGGAGCAGTGAGACCTAGAGGATTTTTGAGAAACCATAGGAAGAGACACAGGGTGGACATTGCCAAGGAGAGGGGCCTGGTAGGGGGCTCTTTGGAGAACTGCTCTGAGTTCCACAGCTTTTGTGGTGGTACAGTCGCAGCGGCTAGAGGTGTACCCGCAGTGCTGGCTGGGCACGGGGAGGAGGGACCCCTGATCAGTGTTGTGTCGTCACCCACACGTGGCAGTGAGTGCCCTCACTTCACCAGCAGGAGGGCCAGTGTGTTTATGTGTATGTCCACATATGATAGAACATGGTGAGACTTTACTATAGCCTGACCTGTGCTCTCAGGCTTTGCCTGATTGTTGTCTGCCCCTTCTCTTGCGCCCTCCCTTCTTTCCTCCCTCCGTCCCTCTCTCTTTCTTTTCTTCTTTTCATAAATACTTATTGAAGTCATACTATGAGCCAGACACTGGCAGGTGCTGAGTGTGCTCTGACAAAGGACAGGACAGCCTGTTCTTGCTGCCACAGAACTTTCCTTGTGTTGTGAGACAGAGACACGTCAACAGGAACATACAGATGGATATGATAAGGATTATAATGGAAAGGAAAGTACATTCCAGGGCACATTTGAGAGACCAGGAAGGCTTCCTGAAGAAAGTAACATCCAAGGCAAGGCCTAAGAGATAAGGAGTCCTAACTGGTGTGGCTTAGTGACTCAGTGGCTTGGGCTTTGTCCTGCAAACCAAAAGGTCACCAGTTCTCTCCCTGGTCTGGGCACATGCCTGGGTTGCAGGCCAGGTCTTTGGCTGGGAGCATGCATGAGTCAACTGATCAATGATTCTCTCACACATCAATGTTTCTCTCTTTCTCTTACTCCTTTCCTCTCTCTATAAAAATCAATAAATAAAATCTTTAAAAAAAGAGAGAGATAAAGAGGAGCTCACCGGAGAGGTGGATTGGGAGAAGAATCAGTGTTCCAGGGCTGGGGAATGGCATATGGGGAAAGAGGTGGGAAGGGAGGGGTGAACTCCATGGCCAGGGCGTGGCAGGTGAGTGAGGTGTCTGCAGAGGGCTGATCATGGGGGAAGATGGTAGGCTGGGCTTTATTCTCAGATCAATGGGAGGCCATTGAGAGGTCCAACTCAGAAGGATAAGGTAATCAGACTGGCATTTTAAAACATTCATTTTGACAGTTCAGATAGGAAAGATAAGAGTGGCAAGTGTTGTTGTTATCTGAAAGATAAATGTGACCTACAGTGGAAAAGAAAGCAGTGGAGGTGGAGAAAGGTAAATATAATTGAGCCATATTTAGGAGATAGAAGCAATAGACTCGGTGACTGATTGACTGGATGTGTGAGGAGTCAAGATTACTCCCAGGGTTCTGGCTTGAGCAATTGGGCACTAATAAATGAAAGAGAGAGTACTGGGGGAGAAACTTGTCTTGGGGATGGGCTGGGATGGTGGACAGTTGAGTTTCAGACTGGTTGGTTTTATGGTGGGCATGGGATACACATGATCGGAAATGCCATTGGATCTGAAGGTCAGGAGGGAACACTGGCCTAGCAATACAGACTTGGGAGTAATTAGCATTTATAGAGGGGATGCCCAAAGCTGTGGAAATGAATAAGATCAACAAAGAGGAGCCTATGGGAGACAGAGAAGGAACAGCTGAAAGGGGAGGAGCCAGGCTGGGAGTGTATGGTGGCATAGAAACCAAGAATAGACATTTCAAGATGGAGGGGAGGCCACACAAGAGGAAGACCAAAAGACAAACAGGAAGTCTTATAACGTTGACCAGAGAAACTTCTGGAAACAGAAGCTAGAAGCCAGAATGCATAGAGTTGGAGAGGAGATGAGCAGGGCCAGCGAGCTTAGGCCTCTTTTTAAAGAAGTTTGGCTGAAGGAGAGAATAGATTCTAGCCACCACATGTTAGAATGGTGTGTGGGGCAGAGGGAGGGACAGTAAAGGTAGGAGGGCCTTGAGCATACTTGGATGCCGATAGGAAGTAGCTAAGAGGATAGAGAAGCTGAGGTTGAAATTTGGGGAGGTGGTGGAAATAACTGGGTGACAGGGGGTCCTGGGAGTGAAGGAGGGGGTGGGATCCAGAATATTGATACAGAGATGACCCGAACTAAGAGGAGAGACACCTCTTTCTGTTGTGACAGTATTTTAATTATGTCCTTTAAAAAACTTTCTCCACAGACACTACCCAAAGCAGTCCTTCACTACTGTGGCAGATACACCCGAAAATCTTCGCCTGAAGCAGCAAAGTGAATTGCAGAGTCAGGTAACTTCTAGAAGGCTCATTTTTGTTACATTGGTACTAAATAATATTCATGAAGCCACTCTTTGGAGCTTCTGTCATCGTCCTGTTCATTCCGGGTCTCTGGCTGTGGTGGAGATGGAAAGCAGGCCTGGGTGGGCGTTCTGGGCGAGCTGCTGAACATCTGTTGTGTTCCTGGTCTTGGATCATCCTGAAATTCTCGGTTCTGTTATTCACATGGGCCTAGGGCAAGTAAACGAGTTCTGGTCAGAGTAAGTGTTTCCCAACAATATTGATTTATTTGGTCCTAAATATTTAAAAATATTTTATAAATAGCTTTCCCACACTGCATATGTAGGGGAAAAAGAGGTGTTAACTTGACCCAGTTGCAGTGCATGTGGGGCTAACACCCTGTCTGTGTATCTCACACCAGCCACTAGCTTTGTTTTCATCCTGTCACTTTATTCATATTTCTTTCATATGTCACACTGACAGCATGAACAAAGATTAGAACACCACATTTGGCTCCCAGTCAACCATTTTGGTTGGAAACCTGCCTTCAATATGGCGAAACACATTGGTTAAGACCCGGGATTTGAACAGCAGTGTTTTTTTGCAGGGACTTCCAATCTCTTGTTGAGAAGCCCAGGGTGCTGTCTTTAGGAGTTGTTTTTTTGCCTCAGGCCTTGCCGGCCATGGAGTAGGAAGCTTCTCAGTAACAACACTGCAATCTGTTGGTTGATGGTGCACAGGCATACCTCATGTTATTGCACTTCAAATTACTGCACTTTGCAGATATTATTACGTTTTTTTTTAATAAATTGAATGTAAGATCCTCTACCAGTAAAAAGATTATGACTCACCGAAGGCTTAGATGATAGGTAGTACTTTTTAGCAATAAATATTTTTTAAAATTAAGGTATACACATTGTTCTTTTTAGACATAATGTTATTGCACACTTAATAGATTACAATATAGTGTAAACATAACTTTTATATGCACCGGGAAACCAAAAAATTCTTGTGACTCTCTTTATTGCTATATTTGCTTTCATGCTGTTGTCTGGAACTGAACCTGCAGTATCTCAGAGGTTTGCCTGTAGTGCAGCGACACTGAGGAGGGGGTAGGGAAGGCTGGGGCATGGTCCCCATACTGCCGTTCATTGGTGGGGACCTTGGGCCAGCCACTCTGATTCTTTGTGCTTATGTAAAGTGAGACGGTCTGTCTTATCTTCTGTATGGGTCTTGAGGGTGACTGCAAATATCAAATAGGTGTGAACGCATTTTGGAAAGTTAAAAAATGTTATATGATCGTGGAGGCTTATTATTGTTATTATTATTACTATTCCTGAAAATCCTTGCTATGAAACAGGGAAAAGAGCCGAATGTGTGAAGGAAAGAGATGTCTAACTAATACTCTTTGAAAACATCAGGCCGTAGCTATTCTTAATGAGGGTAGTTAGCTTTCAGTTGCACCGGATCTAATTATTTCCACACAGGTTTATCTGATCACAGGGGAGATGGTGGTTCCCACCACCCTCTTTCTGGGGCACTTGAGACCACTTCACAGTTCATTTAATTAGAGGAAATATAACTCAAAGTAGAGTTTACTGTTGGTTAACAATGCTGTGAAGACTTGGTTGGCAGTTAGTTTTTGGTTTGTGTAAAATGCTAATTTTTGTGTGCTAAGCCATTAGTTCAAAAAATTGAGTGCTGGCCAGAGAGGCACTGTTGTGGGCCAGCAGGAAAGCCCTTTGCTCATTCGCACCGCTGAGGGTGCCAGGGCTTGGCTGCAGTCTGTGCAGATCCAATATGCCTTTCTTCTCATCAAGTTAGGATTAATTAGATAATTCTGCAGAGGTACTTTGAGCACATTGGAAAACAGAACTAGATCAAGCAATCAAATATTTGTTTCCTGCCTATTATATATCCTTGTTCTGTGCAAAAGAATTTATAATTAGCTCACAGGGTGTCTGAGGACCCACACCCTCCCACACCCTCCAAGGGTGACTATGTTTACTTTACATTAAGGATTCAGAAAGGAAAGGAAAGTACTTCTTGGGGGAGGTGGGATTTGAGTGGAGCCTAAGAAGGGATCTGATCTGAACCCTTGTCTCCTTCCTTTGGAAGGCACACTGCTCCCTTTGGGTCTGGTCAGTGACTATTGGTGCCTTCAGCTTGGCCCAGGGAGAAGCATTTATTGTTTTCTTACTTTGTGCCAGATTCTGGAAATGCAAATAAAAAAGTAGCTTACTGTTTTATAAATGGCTGTTTTTATTCTTACTCATGTAGAAAAGCTGCACGCTTTGAGGCAGCGTAAACAGATGTGATAGGCTGGTGGGACAGGAGCCAGCAGAGGTATGCACAAGTGCTCTGGGGTCTCCAAGCAGTGATCAGGTGAAGGCATCAGATTTTCTTAAAGATTTCGCATGCATGTCGTCTCCGCTAGGAAATTTAGAGCTTCCTCAGGCAGACCGAGTGGGGAAGTTCAAGTCAATTCAAAAAGCATGTATTGAATTGGCAAGGCACTAGGGAGGGGGATGTAAAGGCATCGCCACGTCACAATCACCATCAATCTTGCTGTATTCAGGGCACAGAATTTTACATGTATTATTTCACTTACTCTCAAACGGCCCTACGAGACATGTATTTATCATCATCTCTATTTAGCTGAAACACTCAACCTGCAGAGAATATAGGTAGCTTGGCCTTGCAAACTTAGTAAGGAGTTGAATTTGGAATAGAATCTAATTTTGTGAGCCCCCAGTGTCCATACTCTTAACCAGTATTCTGGCCCCTTTACTCAGGAAACACCTAGAAAAGGAGATCTGTAAGTGAAAAATTTCTGTACAAGGTGATAGAGCAGTGTGTAAAGAAAGGTAAAATTTTGCAGACAGTACAAAAGTTACACATAGGAAGAAGTCCTCCTTCTCACTATTATTATGATTATTGTTTTTCTGGGTGAAAGACGGAAGCCCTTCTGTAAGAGCACTTCTGTTTTTGCAAAGGTATGGAATGATATCTATCCTAATGGTAATATTCGTTAATGGAAGTCAATTTAATTTTAACATATTAAATGTTTTGCATCTGTGGTAGAGCATTTCATTAGAGTTTTGATATGAAGAATTCTGAACAGCTCAACAGATTTGGTGGAAAATTGACTATTAATATTTTATTGACTTGTTTTGATAACTTGTGGTGCTAAATGAGTCAAATCCATTCATGACTCCAAGTTTTGATATTCTGAAATCCTTTAGAACTGTTTGGTTAAAGCTAATTTTTTCCTTTCAGTTCATTAGCTTCCCAAATGAGCCAAAATGAAGGAAAAACAAAAATTAATTTTCAGTCCCACCAAGAAAGTTATTTATAGGTACATGTTATCTTTTCCTTGCCCTCTTTCTGTCTCTCTCTCTCAGAAGGTTATAAGCACAACCAGTATTTTATTTTTTTTCTTCGGTGTTATACCCTCTCAAGAGTTTTTTTTGTTTTTTGGTTTTTTTTGGGTGGGGAGATGGCATCTGTGTTAGGTGCCAGATTGTCATAATAAAGTGGTACAAAATATTATAGAATAAACGAGCAAACCTGAGTTAGCTTTTCAGAACTGGAGATAGGCGGTGGTCTACGGGCATTATCCAGCTTGCAAACAACTGATGCACGCACACTGGGCCAGCCTCTGACTGCAGTGGGGACATGGATTGCCCCGAAACTTGGCAGTCCAGAGAGAGAAGGGAGAGAGAGAAGAAGCACTTCCATCCTCACTAGTTCCCTTTTCATCACACATCACAGGATGAGCTGATTCAAAGAAATAACAAATGGTGGTTGGGCACCCCCCTGGCCTACATTAGCCCATTCAGCAAGGAGCATAAGGAACACGCCACTTCTAGAAGTAGTAGTAACATTATCCTTTACCTGTAGGTCATCAAGCTTCCATTGCTTGTCTTGGCACCGCATATATATATTTTTTTCTATGAAAGTGTGCCCCGAGTTCCAGGGCTCTGCCTCACAAACAACTTCTGGGACACAAGTGCTTTTTAAGTTGGGGAACCCCTGAACTTCAAAAACTCAGCAAGATGAAAAGCCCGTAGGGGAGAAATTTCCTTAACTTCTTTTAATATTATGTTATAGCAAGTGTTTCTTTTTTAAGGCTGTGTAGCATACTTTTATTGGAAGAAAGGCACAAATGTTTTGAGTACTCTGGATCAGGATCTGCAGACTTCTTAAAGCTGCGGAAATGGCTCTTCAAATGGAATTTGGAGTGGAGGTCCGCACAGGAAAGAGAGAAAAGTGGGGCTGTTGTGGCTGAGCAGGGAAGCAAACCCTTGCCCTCTGCATGTTCTCCTTGCTTCTCCTCAGCCTCCCATTCCCAGGGCCCTGGCTGACTGTCCTAGTAAACCCGAGCCTCTAAAGGCCAGAGTTCTGAAAAGAACTGCTCAAAACGAGGATGAAATGTTAGCTACTTCCCACTTAGTTTTTTATGGGATTGGCTTAGCTGTTTGCAATCATGCTGAAAATAACAGAGATTTTGGGCTCACTGTGTTCTTGAACGGAGTTTGTGTAATTTATGAGGACTATAAAATGAAAGGTTGAAAATGATTATAGATAGTATACAAATCATTCTGGAACCGTTGAGTCTTCATTTTGTAATTTGTGTTGATTCTTTTTTAATCTTTCACATTTTTGTGGAGGCATAAAAAACATGGCTCATAGGGAATATGATATAAGATAGTAGGAAGTGTGAGAAGGTAATGTGGTTTTTTTATGGGGAACATAATAGTTAAACATCTTTGTGGGAGAAATGAAGACACATGTTCAATATAAACCTCTGGAAGTTCAAGGAGGCAGACTGTGACATACAGTCTCTCTCTGTGGCTTGCCCATGGCACCTTTCTCTACTTCCTTATTCTAAGTTCCATTTCAGGAGGTTTTTCATCTCGGTTATCTGTCATCTAAGCACCTAGTAAGGTGTTAAATAATTACCTAGAGCAAGACCCTTCTCAGGTGGCAGTTGCATTTTAATCGGTGTC